TGTTTTGGTTCCAGATGCTGAGAGCACAGAATAGGGTAACTAGTGAGTCCATTAAGTGTCATTGATGGTGCCAGTAACCAGCATCCTTGCTTAAGGTGTACTGTAGAAATGAAGTCTTTTTCTTCTTGTTATTGTGAGTTGTGCTGGTTCCTGCTGGTGGTGGTGACATTGCTGCCATTCTTGTTGTCAAATGCAGATTGTTACAGGGAATGTACTGATCCAAGTTGGATGCCTTTTGATCCAAGGAATTGCCATCAACAAAGGTTTTTGACCAACTATCTGGGACGTTGCTGCCAAGGAGCATGTAATTATACACATCATATAATTCATTCAAATATTTCTTTCTTGAATCAAAATACCTCTCAGAAACACCAGCTGCATCAGCTTCAACAGCAAGATTCTCAATTTTGTCAATGGGAAGGTTCTCCAAGAGTTTTATTCTTGTTCCAAATGAACTGCACCTGCCCCAAGGACCTCTGCATCTTTTATAGTCTTCCTCTTCAAAAAGGCAATGTACTTCATCAATGCCTGGGATAAGACAAGATTGCTGGCGCTGAGACAGCTTTTCACATCAAAGTTTCTCTTGTGCAATTGGTGCCAGGAGTCTTCTTAGTTGACTCATGACATCATGTTTGTTTTCAAAGCCTTCTGTTGAGCAACGTCCATTTATACCTGTCTTCTTGATAAAGGGAATCAAGGCACATAGTAGCATATGCATCTTCCAGTAGTAGATTTGATTCTTCTTTCCATAAATTCCGGGGTGCTGTACCCATAGCTGTGCAAAGTTAGCAATATTTTCTTTTAATTTGAGGATAACAAATGTTGCACTCTTTGTCCTGAGATTTCAAAGAAGTCAAAATCTGCAATAATAGAAGCTTAGCAGAAGTTTGCCACCAAGTCATGATCTTGAGCACAACAGGATTTTTGCATCCATTGATTATTCCTTGAGCATTTGTTAACCTGTATTGGCCATGGTTCTTATTGAAATTGCCAGCAAAGGTCTTTATTGCTTTCACAAAACGATACACAGCCTTTGAAAAATTCTTCTTCTTGCTTCTCTCAAAACTTTGCAGAAGAGACTTCAACTCATCAGCTCTATTGAGTTTGCGCAATGTTTCCTGGTAGTAGCCAAGATCTTCACCTACCTCATCTCTTCTCATGACTGCATTTGTAGAAGCTTCATAACATCTATCCATCTTGTCATCACTAGCTACACACAGTTCCTTGAATGCAGAATTTACAAGACTGTCTTCTTCCTTGTATTGGTTCTGCTCATACTTGTGATTCAAAGAGCTTGCCTGCTGTGATGCCATTACCTCAATGAAAGCTTTATGAATTCTGGTTCAGATTCTGTTGCTGATTATTCCATTGCTTTCTGAAGCTAACAAGCAGTTTCTTCTGTCAAGTGAGACATCAATCCTTGCAACGCATGCATTAGATCACCAATGTGAATATATAGGAGGTCATCATCAATATGCAAAAATTGCTTGTAGATAACACTAAACACATCCTTCTTCAACCTGAGTGGCACATCACCAATTAGTGCTGTGAAATGATAATATGATTCATTTTGACTGTATTTGSCTGTTTTTTCTGTGTTGTCTTTTGTGAATATTATAACTGTTGTATTGATGTTGCTTTCTTCTGTAATATGGTAGCTTACTCAAGTTGTGGCAACTCCTTCACACAGTGGCCATTGACACTTGGAACAGGGGTAAGACAATCTGCAAGTTGCRAGCCCATGGGCTGTGGTACACATACTGTCATCTTCACATGGTACCCCTATTACTTGCAAGCAATCCACCATCAAATATTTAGATCATTATCTTCTGCATTCACGCMTTTATCAAATTCAAAAGAGAATATTTCTTCCATTGTTGTCGCAATTTGTTGAACTATAATGTGGTTTTAGGTGTAGTGATTGTTCACGATTGGATGTTAGAACGCAAAAGTCCTGGTTGATGGAAGCATCATCTGCAATGATGCATAATAGTGCTTTGTATGTTTGGTATACCAACATATTCAATACTGCCAATAGTACACACAATCTTTGTCAATGATAGGTCCTGCTTATTCACCACATTGTCAATCAATTACAGTAACAAACACTTAACATCTTTTGGAGCTGCAGAAGTGTCATTTTCCAAGAAGAACTGAATTCTAATCATAAACAGTTATTGGTTGACAAGTTGCTCAAGGATAGCTTTCTGAAGAGGGAAATACACTGTTCTCACCAGATTCAAGTTTATTTCTGTTGCTCCCTCCACAACACCAATAGGAGGTATTGAGAAGCCTCCATGATTGCCTTTATGTCAATTTACAAGAGCAATCATCATGATTACTAGATTGCCTCCCCCATGATAAGCTCCAAACAGAAAGATTGTCTTGTTCTCAAGTGTTGAAAATTCAACAGAATCTTCCATCTCCCCCTCTAATGTACAACCAGAGATAAGTCTCTCCATGAGTAATGGTACATTCTCAATATGATAGTAGACACATCTTTCAATGCCTTCTTTTGTCACATAACATTTGACATATTTGAATGTCAAAGGAATAGCACTAACATGTTCAATTAGACCAATCTTCATTGCAAGCTAGTATCCTTCGACTGGCTTCTTATCTGGTGATATCAACATCTTCTTCTTCTTGAGCAGGGTCAATACATCTCTCATTATAGAAGTTACAACTGACATTGCTACATTCCATCCAGCTCAGTTTCATATTTCAAGTACTTCCATTGAAGAAATTTCTGTCTTTGGTTTACTGCAAGCAGTCATATTAAAGTTGTTCTCAATGGCCCTCACAAGCACCATCTTCTGTAAATCTTTATCGCTTGCAGCACCACTTATGGTACTTTGGAGGAAATAAACCATGGACTCTGCTACCTTATTTGCAAACTTTTGACAGTTCCTTCTGCTTATAGTTGCGCAAAATGACCGTGATGGCAGTGCATAGATCCTTTTATCCAACAGATTGCCATTTGCAGCAGCTTGCAGRGGTACAAACTCAAGGACTCTTCTTTCAAGATCTTTGTCATTCTGAGCAGTGCTTATATCATGTGTGAAGTGTCTGCACTCAGGCAAGAGATGATTGGTTTGTTTGTCAGGTGTCTGCTTTTTGTTTACAGCAGGAATGAACAGAGCTCTTCAAAGAACAGGAGATGGCACTGGAGTTGTGCCAAGACAATCTCTCTTTTTTTTAGCATTCTTGGAGTTTTGGGTGTTGATTGCCATGAAGAATAAGGAGTCTGCTGCAGTGGAGAGAAACTATGTTTAGAATTGGATGGTGTTGAATGTAACACCTCCAGCGCTGTATCTGGCAGTGTGTCAGCAGGAGATGAATTGCTGATGGTCAAGGGGGAAGTCCTGTTCTCTTTTTCCTCTACAAATGACACTAATACAGACATGATTCTGGGGGAAATACTAGAGTCTTCTAAAGAAGTTGATAACCTGTCAGAAACCAGAGCTGTGGGAGCTGTTGCATTACTCTTTAATGCTGGGGATGACTTTCCATTTTCTCCTCCTCTTTGTCAGAGCCACTGCAAATCACTAGTATTTGATCCTTTCTTTCCAAGTGCAACACATGTTACAGCACTATTCCCACAGAATCCCCAAATAATTGTATGGAGCAAAACAATTAGGTTCCATTAATCTTTATGGGGCTTCATACAATCTCCTTCATATTGGAAACCACCCAGGTCCAGTGCTTGAGTTCTGTTCTAAAAGGAAGGTCTCAAGAGGGCAAGTCTTAGTCTTCCTTGACCAAACAAAATTGCTACATTCTTCAATTGAAGAGATGAACTCTGTAACCATCTCATTTGTAATGGAAAATTTTTCCCTTCTGTCACTATCTATCAGTTGGACACAATTTGCCAATTGCCCTTGGAATTGTTTGCGCAGCTAGGAATTCAATAAACTTTGCCTTACAATACTTTTTTGTCCTGCCTTCCCCACACTGCTTTCAAATACACTGTCTGGTCCACCAAGAAAGAAGCAATGAATTCAGAAAGGAATCTTCTTGTTCCTGGCCTAGTAGGTCAAGGATCCAATTCTCCTCAAGATTCTTGTAATTATTCATCCAGATTATAATTGGTAATTTTGATGGAGTTCTTGTTGTCAATGTAGAGTAAGTCCTTAGCAACATTTCAAATACTAGTTCCTCATTGGGAGGGGGTGAGATATCTATTGAACACTTTTCTCTTCTTCCTCTTCTTCTTGAATGGAGAGAAAAATATGGCAAGGGATAGACTGATATGATCACAGAGATCACACCAGAGAGAGTGTTATGAAGTACTTATCAAAGAGTTTTCGAATTTTATCTGCTGCTTTATCATGGTGCTCCTGTTGCAATGAAGAGGCCTTTTGCAACAGCAAACGACGCCATCAGAAATTTAGCAGGGACCATGCAGCTAAACACAATATTTGTTAGCATCTTTGAAGATTCTAATGTGGTTATTATCGATGTTGAGATTGGCTTTTGATTCAATTTAGTTTATTCAGCTTTGGTGTATAATACAGACAGCCATTTATGTCATAATAGTTCTTCAAAGATCGGTCGAAGTCCATCTCACGCTCACACGGACGAGGATGCCACGGTCTTGGCTGCCATATGGTGTGCCAATCGCTCAGTTCGGTCTCGCTTGTCGTCAAGCAGCGTTTTCTGGAGCTCGGCACGAGCTGCAAGGGCTCGAATCTTGCGGTCGTAGGCAGTTGCGGCCCCCGGTACGGCGCCCTCTTCCACCGTAAGCCGACATAGGATTCCCATCTGGGTCTTGGGCTTCGCTGATGTGTGCAGGCTGCAGGCCGCTCCACACTTTCCACAGGTTTCAAAGGTGCACTTGTTACCAAAGCCAAGCTCGCCGTGCTCGGCGCGTGTACGACCGCACTTGGAACAAATCTTGCGGAAGCTCAGGGACTTCGGTAGTCCGCTGACCTTCAAAGCGTCTTTGTAGCTCTGAATGTGGCTGCGTGGAGGTCCTGATGAATAATAAGGTCTCGGCGGAGGAGGCCCAGGTGGGGGACCATATTGATTACTGTAGTAAGGTGGCCCCATGTCGCGAGAAGGAGGATAGGCTTGTGGTGGCCGAAGCTGTGGATACGGTGAAGGGTGCGGTGCGAAATGATGGAAAGCAGGAGAGGGCCGATAGCCCGGGTGTTGGTGGTGATATGGCGTATTGTGCGATGGTGGCGGTGGCAGGGAGGGCAAAAAGGATCCGTGCGAAACAGCTCGGGGCATTCCGACAGTTTTGGACGTCGGAGGAGTTCTAGATTCCAGTTTTCGGACTGGCGACTCTTCGCCTTCGATTGGAGTCGCACGAGGGCGTTTAGGGACTCCCTGAATATCGTGTTCTACACCGTCGATGCTGCTGTCCGAAATTCTAGGGTCGGGGGATATGGTGGGTGCCGAGAGCGCTTCGTCCGACTTTCGCTTAGAAAGCTCTCTTGTACGGGTTGTGTAGTCCTCGGTGAGCTTATTGCTTCTACTGCTTCCGTCCAGTAGTTCTGTCATCGCAACTGCCGCCATGATGGCAAGACGATCTTCTTCTTTTTTGGAGTGTGGTCGATTTTGTTGTTCACTCGCTGTTTCGGTCTTGGCGAAAGGAGTTTCGGGCACCACATGGGGTGATGGCACCTGGGCTTGCTTTTCTTCCTTTTGTTTTCGCAGAAGCATCTTCTGTTTCTTCATGGCCATTTTGTTCAGGGGCATGGTCTCCATTTCTTCTGGTTCCTCCTCCGATTCGGATTTGGGCGAAACCATAGTTTTTTTCGTACTTGCTTCCGTAGCTGAGCCACTCGGTGTGCTCTCTAGGCTGCTGTTGGATCCACTTTCTTCGGATTCGGAAACCGCGGTTCTCAGAACCGCACTCGGGGAAGAATGCAGCGGAGATGTCTCCTTCCGAGGTGTACAAGGCACAACCATCGGTGTTGGAGCTTGCATCGGTGTCATGCTTGGTGGTTCCCCAGGTGGGGGACCTTGCATCGGCGGCAAGTTCTTGCAGTTGATGCAACGGCAGTGAATCCCGCAATGGGCATTGTTCTGATAGCACTCGCAGTACTTTTTAAGGCAAAACGACTTGCGGCATTTGCAGCCCCATTTATTGACCCGTTGGGACGATGGTAGTACTGGTTCCTTATGTGGAGTCGTCTCTGGAAAGGGGTGTTGTGGCCTCGAACCGTACGGTGAGCTGTAGGAATAAAATGGTGGAAGTGGACCACGGTATCCCAGGGGAGGCGCCTGCATCTGTGGAGGGGGATAGCTCCCTGGGTGGCCGTGAACGGGAACAGGGCCCCGTGGATCGGGACAGGCGCTAGGAAAGGGACCCCCGCTTCGATAGCTGGTAGGGGTTGCAAGAGGTCCTGATGGCCCCGACGGAACAGAACCGGTCGTTTGAAACTTCCCCTCAAAGGCACCGGGATTCCGCTCGAGGACKCTCYTCCGGGCCATCTCAATGTCCTCTGCGTGGGCGGGGGTATTGTGGCAGTTGCTGCAACGACATTTGGGGCCACATGTAGTGGAATCGGCAAAGCACTGGCAGTACAGCTTGAGACACTTTGACTTTTTGCAGGTGCAAGAGCCGCCAGAGATGTTGTTCGATGAAATAGAACGCTGTCKTTCTTGTTGTTGATCGATAGAAGCGAAACTAGGCATTTCTCTGTTGTTGTGAAACGGGGCCATAGGMGCGTAAGTGTTGTACTTATAGTGCGGAACATTCTGGCGATGAAGAGGTGGGTTTGGTAGAGGAGAAGGATACGGTGCAAACTTGGGAGGAGGGTAGTGGTGAGAAGGAGAAGACGAGGATGCAGAATCGTAGGGATAGTACTGCTGTGGTGGGCGCCTCGGCATCGAAGCCTGAGGAGGATGCGTTGGAGATCTTCGTCCTCCGGCCGGAAGCGTGGTCTTCTTTTCGGAAGGAGAATGTCTGGAATARTGTCTTYGCGACTGGTCGCGCTCTCGTTCCTGCATGTGGTGCAGCGGAGAACCCCTCGGACCCTCCTCCGGAGCCGAGTGATTGTGAGAAAGGGATCGAGCGTGCGAGCTGCGGCTACTTCCCTCGTGTGTCGGAGATGTCGGTGTAGTTTCCCAAGTCATGTTTGTTGTTTCTTCGTTTCTTTTCGTTTCCTTTCAGTCTAGTTCAGATCAGATCAGCTTCGTTTGTAACTGCAGCTTCTACTTAAATTCATTCCACAGACAAAAGGATGGCTTCTACAACGATAATACGGGTTCTATGATCTTTACCGAAGGCAGAGACAGAATAAAACCAGAGCAGATTCTGTTGTGAGAGAGCACGGGAGGAGTAAGAGTACCGGCAGGATTGCTTCTTTCTAAGGATTGTGTCGTTGAGGTATGTGTATTTCTGTCGTCTCCGTGGACACCGGCAGCACCTTACGAACCAAAAATTCCACTTCGTCTTTCTCAGTAGCCCAAAATTTGGCATGCTTGCATCAAAAATATTGCGCGAGCACAAACGCGACCAAACAAAACCAAGGAACGGATGGCGGGGAGGCCTAAATGTAAATTTAAATTCCGGTTTGTTCGGGAATTYGGCTGGCAGGTGCGTGCCAATATAAAAACCCTATGCACATGCCCGACAAGTTGTGTATCCTGCCGGCCTTTGATACAATCCGATAGTGTTTTCGGGATTTTTGGAGAACGATTTTCGCGATTGATGGGTCACACTCCCCATGGCGGCGAAAAAATGGACCAAATGTCCTATGTAATATTTTTTCAAATTTGACCAAAAATCCTCCTCACAAAATTCCCGCCTAGAAAATCTAGTCGCGTTTCTGTGGAGATGTGTTTATTTTGTGTGTACGTATTGTATTTATTCGAGTCCTGAGTTGGTAGAGCACGAATACGTAATACCGTAGTTCAGTACGGTGCGTGCGATACCACCATCTTCTCTTCCATATTACTAGTAAAAGAACCGGGATGGAGGCTGGTACATTGTGTTATTGCCGCCAAACGGGCATTGAAAGTGTCTGGTCTGCTCTCAACGGAGATCGTACCCATTCGTGCAACGGAACTTGGAATACGAGTGCGTACGTACGTACTCCTTTTAAATGTACTTGTACTGTATTACTTCACGAATGATAATCATACGGTACGGAAATAGAATAAAGGAGTACAATACGGTAGGATACGTAACATTGTCATTATTTTCCACTCCCGTACCGGCACATTACCGTTCGTTTGTCATTGGCACTCTTGCCTTCTGTTCTGTTGTGAAAACAGCAAGATGATACTCTCCACATACCGTACGGTACGGGTACCGTGCGATGCCTGTGTATAATTGTGATACCAACGAGAATGCAACGGCATTGCGGACCATGCAGGGTGGCAGATACGAGCACGGTTGACGAACGACTGCCGCATGGTAGTCAAAGCCTGGAAAATAGAAACTACTTATGCAACATCKTCAATGAATGTGCATTCGCAATAGTGTGTCGATCAAGGCCGTGCACGAAAGCGCCCATACTACTACGTACTTCTACTTTTTAGTTCCTGCCTGTTCCAGACGTTTGCTGTGTTCTTCGCTTCCAGGCAGGAAATCAATCAAGCCCTCTCTGCTCGAGCAATTGGATGCGATAGCTCTTGCTGTAGTAGTAGTACTAGTRGTAGTCGTCGTAGTTTTCAATCTATGGTGCACAGGTTCTTGTTGGCAGTGTTCAGATCAACAATCAACAAAGAATCTTCTTGCAGTACTTGGGTACTTCAATAAATTCGATTACGTTCTAGTAGTAGTAGTACTATTAATACTAGTAGTAGTAGTGATCTCTGTAGAGCCTAGTAGGAAAACTACGTTGACATGCAGAACCCGTTGAATACGCTCAGCACCGGACGGTTCGTCTCACCCCGCCTCCTCTGCTGTAGTATTTTCAGTTGGAGACCGGTACGGCATCGGGAATTCCATTCGCGAGSCAACAAAGACAAGGATGAACAGCGAAGCTACCGGTACCCACCGCTGCCGGCATCGCAGACAGCAACGCCCATTGCTACAAGCAAGCACGAGGGCCAGCGCGTTCGGGTTCTGGTGCGTCGCGCTTTGTGTCTGTATCTGTAGCAGAAGCGGGAACAATCGCCACGGAATGGTTGTGACCGGGTTCTCGTCAGGGAGAGCGACATCCTGGCACGCGGGATCGACCACCGAGAGAGCGATCGGCGGATTTCACGGCAAAACGAATCGCAACGTCGCCGGTTCCCCCGGTTCCCGGCTGCGCTCCGCTTCCGGGCGGGACGGCGGGAGGGATGCTCCTCCCGCCCCCCACCGAAACCACCTCGACGCGATCCGCCGCGACGAAAAGGCGCTGAAACACCGCTTCTTTGCCCTCCGGCACGGCCAGTCCCTGGCCAACGTGGCCGGTGTGATCGCCTCCGATCCCGACGTCGCCTGCCAAAAGTACGGCCTCTCGGAGGAGGGGRAAAAGCAGGCGAAAAAGGCCGGGGACGGGCTCGTCCGGGACTTTCTGGCCGCCCGCGCCGCCGACCGGTGCCTGCGGGGGATCGCCGTCGTGGCCTCGGACCTCCTGCGCGCCAGGGAGACGGCCCGGTTCGCGGCGGACGCCATTCGCTCKCACAACCGGAGGCAGGAAACCGACGAACGCGAAAGCRAAAGCATCCCCCTGTATTCCGGTGCCGTGGCCACCGACACGCGCCTCCGGGAACGCGGTTTTGGAGAGTGGGACGGCGGGAGCGACGCGCACTACCACGACGTTTGGAAGGACGACGCACGGGATCCGTACCACACGATCAGGGGCGTCGAGTCCGTGTGGAGCGTCACCGACCGGGCCACGGACTGCGTCCTGGACTGGGAGCGGAGGCTCGGGGACGAGGGCGGTGGTGGCGGTGACGGTTACTACTGGGTGGTGTGCGTGGCCCACGGAGACGTCCTGCAGATCCTGCAAACGGCCTTTCACGCCGACCTCGATCCGTCGCAGCACCGATCGATGGAGCACCTGGAAACGGCCACGCTGAGGCCCCTCGAGCTGGCTTGACGACCGGGATCAACCAGAACGAAGGCACCGAGCTCCCCCTTTTGGTGTTCGGCTGGCTCCGGTAGTATGTCTGCAGCAATCCGACAAAGGGCAAWACAGCGAGGGCTCATGAATAAGGAAATCAATCGCCAGCTACAGATACAGATACTTCATGATGGACTGCTCTCGAATGCCACCGATGATCTTTGAACGAAAAATGAATTTCAAATCGTCTCGAAAGTCATACTCGTTCTGTTCTGCAGAAAGATACGTTTGGAAAACGAGCGAACCAACTACTTGAAGAACGATTTGATCCCTTCCGACATCAGTTAAGCCATGGAACATTGCAWTGCCTGGCCTTTCTGTTTCGTTTTTGAACTTTTACCGTGGAATCTACGTACGCTTCTCCAMGTACGAAGTACTTCTTAACGATAGACTATTCAAACCATTGGATTCAATCTGACACACTATTATAATTTCAAAATCGTCTTTCACAAAACGTCGATTTTGCCATATCACTACGCAGATTTTTACAACTGCCAAGACCTGGTCACGTTACGCGAACAACTTCTCCACTGTTTCGTAAACCTGTTCGATGCTCTTGGCCGAGTCGATGTTGTGCAGGGGTGTTCCCTGCGTTCCAAAGTAGTCCAGAATCGGCACCGTGGATTCGACGTGCGTCTTGAATCGTTTTCGGATCACCTCGATTTTGTCGTCGGAACGTCCCGATTCCTTTGCGCGTTCCAACAGCCGTCCAACCCTGCGCCATRCCATTCATTTGGGTGCAAAGCCAAGCGCATTTCATTTTCATGGCGTCGGGAGAGATTTCGCGTTGATTGTGCGTGCGATCGGGGTGCATTGGATTGGTTTTCAATGATCGGATCGTTTCCAGAAACAAAACAAAACAAAACGTGCAAAATCAGTGTGAGAGAATCTGCGTAAACAAACACACGGGTAAACCTCGATGAAATGAGCCAATCGTAACCGTCCGCATCGTCGCCGACCTGTGGTACCATCCCTCCACTGCCCAGGCGCAAAGCCAGATCGCTGCAGCATCCTGGGACGAGGAATGAACCCAAAAAAAAACGATCCAATCCGATCCGAACAAATTCATTCATTCCGCCACGCCAAGGATGCACCAGAAACGTACAAGACTTCTTCTGGGCACTCAAAATTCAGAACAAACTTGATGGTGTGGACCGCGCCCATGGCGTCCTCCCAGGCCGACATGTTCTCGTGGCTCCTCGGGAACCCGTCGATCAAAAAATGCGTGATCGAACCCTTGGATTCTTGGTGGGCAGCGGCCATGGCGTTTTCGAGCAACTTGACCGTGATCGAGCTGGGAACGATTTCTCCGGCCTGGATCTTGGACCGGATCAGGTCCGCCATGGGCCCCGTTCCAGCGTCTCGTTCCGCCCGCAACAAATCTCCCGCCGACAGGTGTTTCCAGGTGCGATTGAGTTCAMCGTCCACGAGACGATTTTCCAGTCGCTCGCACTGGGTTCCCTTTCCGGTTCCCGGGGCACCTAGGACAAAGACGACCTCACAGGGGGGAAGGGGTGTGGCGGGTGTCGCGGAAATTTTTGCTTGCTTTCGTTTGTGGCGGATCATAAGAGCGGCAGTTCCGAGGAACAACCCCCAGGTTAGAGGGCAGCGAGATCCCATCGTGATTGTTTGCTTGTTTTCTTCTTATTTGTAGTACGTCTCCGTACTTTTCTTCTTCGCCGATTAATGCGGTTGATGACGCTCCGTTGTTTCACAGGTATTCGTAGCTAGGTTTGCGCCTTGGTATTCCTCCTGCAAATAGCTTGTGTGCGGTTATGTGAAAGAGATGTTTTTGAAGCACGGATGGTTTTGAAAAAAAAAACTCTCCTTTCAAAATTCTCTTCATAAAAAATGACTGATTCATTCCTTCGAACTACAGCAACAATAGCTGTTAGGTACGTAATGTACGTAAGAGTAAGGAGTACATACGTACGTTCGTATGAATGTACTTAGTTCATACGTATTGTTATTACTACATGCTAACATAGTACAGTACGTACCGTACGTACAGTACGAAGTAGTATGATACTGTACGTCGCTGGACGTCGCTATTAGAAAAGTTGCTGACTGACTCCATGCGTCATCATTCGTGAGAAGAAAAAACCTACAGCATTTAAGTACAAAATCGAAATTCAARTAGCAGAATACGATGGCACCAGGAATCATTACTTCGTGTTGGTCTAAGATAGAAAYTGKAGCACATGCATCAAGCTTCCGACTCCCATTATCTTCATTCTCACCGATTGATTGATTCATTGACCTGCATTATMCTCCTATCTTCTCAATACATTCCGATTCAAGATTCAGGCGCGAAAAAATGGCTCTTTTTGGTTCAGAGAGACGACACGGCTTGCGGTGGATCGTTTCGGCTGCTCTTACGGCTGTTCTCCTGCTCGTGACGTTGGAATYGACCCTGGCGTTCCGTTCTTCAATGCCAACCTCCATTTCTACGAACAGAAATAGTCGAATGTCATCGACCGCGAGCAGCAGTTGCCTCAGCGTTGTTCCCTTGATTGCAGACAACGCGGCACCGCTGGCGATCGAAGCCGCTAGTACGGTGTTTGCTGCCGGATCGTCGACAACGCTCGCCGACGCAGTCGTCGCGAGCGGCAGCAACCAGATCAATGCCGGGGAGCTCTTGGGCAACAGCGACTTTTTGGTCTTTGTCGCCGGCATCTTCCCCTTTATGTGGGCCACGTACGAATTCTGGAGGCGCATCATGTTCGGGGAATCCTTCGGAACCGGGACCGATTCCATCGTGATCATCGGGCAGGACGACGCCCCCTTTGATTCGCGCGGCCGGCGGGTCCTGGGCACCGGTGCCCTCGTGACGGCCTACGTTCTCTTTGTCTGCGCGTTTGGGACCCTCGCGGTCGTGGGGTATTCGGTCGCCACGTCGGCCCCGCCGTCTTCAGAGGATCTAGCAGCAGTTGCGGCGGTGGAATCGGTTTCGATGTTGGTGGCTCCGTGATGGAGTCTATCCTCTGGTGATCGAATCCCGTTGCATGAGCAGTGTCTCTTCCTCCAATTTGCAACAGAATGCATACAATGGCACAGGACAGAATGTAACTCCGCCGCCAATTCGATTCAGGAAACGAATACTGGGAAGTTTGAAAAGGAAAAACTATAGTATGATTCGAAGAATATTCGGTTCTTTATCCTCTCAAACGATGCAAAGGAGAACACCGYAGTGTGCACCATCCTTTCGATTAAGGGAGTGGTGCAAGGGCAACATTAAACAATATCTTTCGAATGCGTCGAATGATTTGCAAATTTTGCAACAATACCAACAACATATCTGAGTAGCCAAATAGTAGACGTGGTGATGATTCACATGCTATGATCAGTTCTGTGTTACCAAATCGAGGTTGATCCCGATAGCAGGAGTAGTTGTTAATTCAAACCTACCACACTAGAGGAAAGTACGAGTACCGTACTTCTATTATTAACAATTACCAGTAGTACTTCGTACTTCTAGTACAGTATTTCTGTATTAGTACTACTAGTTCATGGGAAGTATTTTTTGAGTATCGTACAGTCCGATACCGTACTTACGGTACGTACCTTAAAGTACTACTATACGATACATTTCGTACATGCCGGTACGATTATGTTGTCATCATACCAGATACTAGTACGTTCATACTTTTCCCATCGAAGCCAAAACACCGAACTCACATGTTTATTTTTAGAGGAGATCTTGATTGTTCCGAGATTTTTTCTCGAGTCTGAATCTGAAACTGGGACCAGAACGAAGCGTTTTGCAAGAAGCCTATTGCATTCTGCCCTTTGCACCGACTACAATCCATCCACTATGACCGAAACAGAAACGCCAACGACCACTTCGACGACGAAGACAGTCGCCCTGCTGGGAGCCACAGGGAAAGTTGGCGGATGGGTCCTGGAAGCCTGCCTCGACAAGGGATACAATGTCGTGGCCCTAGCGAGATCCAAGGGCAGGTTCGACGGCTTTCTCCACGAGCACAAGGATACGAACCTCACCGTCGTCGAGGGCGATGCCACTACCGTTGTGGGGGTCCGGGCTTTGCTCGATGCAAACGCACCGGACGTGGTCGTCTCCACACTTGGGTCTCCCAGCAACGAAATCCTTGTGATGAAAAAGGCCGCGGAGGCCCTGGTAGGCGCCCTGCAGGAAATCGAGAGCGAGGGCGACGATTTTCGAAAAATCCCACGCATCGTGTGGATGACGTCCACGGGAATCAACRAGGCCACGGACCAAGCCAAGTCCTACCCCCTGTTCGGAGCACCCAGCAGGTGGTTGTTTGGATACGGCGCCTTTGGCTGGCTCCAGTTCCACCTGTTGATTCCCTACGTGATCGGCCAGGAGCTCTGGGACGACATGGGGCATTCCGAGGAGGTGATACGATCGTGTGGTTCCGAAAGCATTGCCTCGCGCACCGTGCTGGTCCGGCCCGGCAACATGTGGCCGGTTTCGGAGCACCCCGCGTTTTCCGAGGCCTGGCGCATGGAAGGCGGCGACGCCTCCGGATACGCCTGGGTCGGCGCCTGCGACCCGCCCCCGGGGAAATGGATCACGAGGCGCGCGATTGCCGCCGCCCTCCTCGAGCTGCTGGAAGACGACTCGAAGGACGGGGCCGCCTGGTCGCTCTTTCAGTCCTAGCACGGAAGCTACAAAGTCTCTGCGCGCGGTCGTTTGTGTTGTTTTCTCCGTCGTGGACCACGCTTGCCCAAAGCGCCGCCGACGTCGTCGTCCAGTAACGACGGAAGGCATGCGGTGACAATTGGAACGATTGGGTAATCGGTCCCGTCTTTCATGGTTTTGTCGTACTGTATCGTACTTCATATAGAATTCTATTTTTTACGTCATGTTTTTTGCATCGGATGTTTACCAACGGAATATACCTGTAGGTAACATTTGTTATTTGTAGAAAGAGAGTAGATTGTCGACTACATGTACGACGTAGTGCATACTATTGTTATACTACATTCTACYATTTTTTTTCAATTTTAGCTCTAGCGCCATGATCTCACCAGCCAAGAGAGGCGAGGTACTGCAGTGCGATGCATCCCATTCTATCGCATCGTACTGCATTGGGATTATATTTCAATATATTCGGCAATACGTTACAGAATCCATTACTTGCAGCTTGTTCCGTGACTTGTTCCACTAGAATTGCTCCCTCGCACTCGGTTGCTGCTACGAATCTCGCTGGGAATCGTCGTTGTTTGTGTTTCGGTTTGCGATGCTGCTGCTGCTGCTGCT